GCCTATTTATGTTGCCACCTATTTCTTCATACTTCATACCGTTAACCCAAATAATGCCAGGTCATTTATTTTCGTGTTGATTTTATACAAATAATATTCAGGTGATCGGTACACTTCAACCGTACATGCACTCATCTACAAATGGGTGCAATTAACATCTTCTTTCCATTCCTCTTTTTATACGCAATTTACACTTCATTTATATGTTGCAGGCTTCTTGGCTGTGGGACAAAGTCAGACGGTAGACTAAGACATCACATCACTGGTCTTAACAAGTCAGAGAAGTCTCTCAGGGTGATTGCCTTGCATGTAAGTTACATACTAAGTATCATCTGGGTACACTTCAACCGTACATGCACTCATCTACAAATGGGTGCAATTAACATCTTCTTTCCATTCCTCTTTTTATACGCAATTTACACTTCATTTATATGTTGCAGGCTTCTTGGCTTTTGGACAAAGTCAGACGGTAGACTAAGACATCACATCACTGGTCTTAACAAGTCAGAGAAGTCTCTCAGGGTGATTGCCTTGCATGTAAGTTACATACTAAGAGTCATCTGGAGTTGGATCCCTCAAGTGTGGTGAAACGCTTGTATCAGACAGTAAAGGGAAAGCAACTGCACTGAACGACCAATTCCAATCAGTTTTCACACTGGAGGAATACTCGAACATTCCAGATCTTAGACAACCCGTGTTTCCTTCAATGGATCGCATTGAAATCTCTGTGGAAGGCATTGTCAAGCTACTGAAAGCTATAAATGTAAGCAAAGCCACAGGACCAGATGGCATACCAGGAAGGATCTTGAAGTTCTTTGCTGAAGACATTGCACCGATCCTGACCTTTATCTTTCAACAATCTCTAGATACAGGAACAGTACCATCTGACTGGCGTCTTGCAAACATCTCACCAATTTTCAAGAAAGGAGACAGGAGCAAGGCCTCCAACTACCGCCCTGTATCAATCACGTCCATCTGCAGTAAACTGCTTGAACATGTCATTTTCAGCAATATCATGGATCACTATGACGAAAATAATATTCTCAATGATGTTCAGCATGGCTTTCGTCCTGGCCATTCATGTGAGACCCAGTTGATCATTACATCTCAAGATGTTGCACACTCTCTAGACCAGAAAGAGCAAGTTGATGCAGTTGCATTAGACTTCTCCAAAGCCTTTGACCGTGTACCCCATAACCGCCTCCTCCATAAGCTCCATCACTATGGGATCCATGACAACCTTATCAGATGGATCAGGGTGTTCCTAACTAAAAGGTTACAACGTGTTGTTGTAGATGGAGAGTCATCTGAATGGGTTACAGTCACCTCTGGGGTACCGCAGGGCACAGTTCTCGGCCCACTTCTGTTTATATCCTTCATCAATGACATAGTAGATGGGATCTCTTCCAAAATCCGACTCTTTGCTGATGATTGTCTTCTATACCGTCCGATCACTGATGTCACTGATAGCCAAGCCCTACAACAAGATCTCAACAGGTTGCATTCATGGGCTAACACATGGCAGATGAAATTCAACACCGAGAAATGCTACCACATCACATTCTCCCTACGTCGGAAAGCCATCACCACGACATACACGCTAGGAGACACTCCTCTTGCGTTGGTAACAGATCTCCGGTATCTAGGACTGATTTTCTCATCCAACTTGTCCTGGCAAGGCCACATGAACAACATCACATCCCGAGCCAATCGGATGCTGGGACTAGTCAGCAGAAATCTCCGCAAAACCTCACAAAAGATCCGCCAACAAGCCTACTTCTCTCTTGTTAGACCTCATCTGGAATACTGTTGCTCGGTCTGGAACCCTCACACAAACAAGCATATATCCAAAATCGAGGCAGTACAAAGGCGAGCAGTAAGATTCACCCTCCAGAGATATCGTCGTATGGCCAGTGTCTCGGCCATGATTCAAGATCTGAAATGGGAGAGCCTGGAGAGGAGAAGAAATGGTGCAAGCCTCCACCTCATGTACAAGATCCAAAACGACACAGTAGCCATCAATGCACACCATTACACAGCCCCCATGATTGCCAGCAACACACGACAGTATCACTCAAAGAAGTTGCTGACTATCCCATCCCGCACCCAGCTCTACCAGAACTCATTTTTCCCTCGGACAGTAACTGCGTGGAATGCACTTTCAAAGATCACCCTTGACGCTACTTCACTGGAGGGCTTCAAGGGAGCGCTTCCACCAAGCATCTAGACCAAGAACTAGATAGTTTATTCCTCAGCACTACATCCTGACTTATGGATCCTGCTGAGTATCGTCGTAGAAGTAGAAGTAGAAGTATATCGATTGCTACATGAATACAAGGGTTCTAGGACAATTACCCCCTGGACAATCACCCACCTCCCTCCCCCTGGCAAAATCCCAACTGGACAATTACCCCACCCTGAAAATAACCCCCTTGGACAATCACATATCATTAGACAGTGTAACATAAATGTATTTAAATGGATATCATGTGTATAGCGTGTTTGTAAAAATATATTGGCATCCTGTTTATTGTTATATTTTATACAACACCTACGTGGATCCTTGTCATTTGATTGGACGATTGTTGGTCACATGATATTCAATAGATGGTATATTGCACGGTCGTGCATTTTTGGTTATATGCAGACTGCGTACCTCTCTGCTGCATGTGCGCGTATCCCTGCGTGTATCTGACGCGAAGGCAATCTGCATGTAATCGAGAAGGCTTGACTCGAACTTTAATTTATCTTTATAAGGAGTAAAGCATAATTTGTTGATTAACGTTCTATTAGGTCTTCTTCGATGTTGTATACAAAAAATAATGAATGTTTTTCATTCGTTTAATAGTGCAAATATCTTCATTCGTTGAAAGATTAACGTTAATTCTATTCAACTCGACTGACGCCTCGTTGAATAGAATGTTAATCTTGCAACTCATGAACATATTCGCACTATTGAACCCATAACCATTCATTATTTGTATAATATTGGATGTAGGTGCTGCATGTACATGTTAACTACAAGATTATAAGATTATGCTTCCGATGACCCTACATTTACAAAAGCTTGAAAATAAAATTGAAATTAACATTAACACAAACCGTGAATGACCGGTATGTTTGGAGCCATTCACCAACCCACCGGTCGTCATATCATGCAATTAAAGAGACAGGTTGACGGTCCAAATGAAAATCAGCCATTCGCAGATCAGATTCACATGTATGCAAAACAAAGAGATTGATTTATTGGCCATATATATGTATATTATCTGTACCGTTTTATTTTAAGCAGGCTTACCTCTTCAGTTTACAAACTGCTATCCCTGAGCGCCCTACACAATAAAAACAACGTATATACAATATCTATGGACTTGATAAGTACATATTGAACTCATAATTGCATAACAAACAAAGATAAGGAAAACAAAGGTTAATAACATAAGAAAGACATAAAATAAATATAAATTTGTAAAGTGTTACTAATTTTCAGCATAGTATGATCAAAACATACAGTTGATACATTATCTAATACTGTCCAAATACTAATTACAGCCGTTGAAAGCAAAATGAGGTAATATACTGGAGAATGTTAAATTGAGATAGATTGAGTGAGAGCAAATAAAGCTGGTAAAGATAGAGCGAGAGGGGAGGAGAGAGAAAGAGAGGGAGAGGGGGAGGGAGAACAATGGAGTACCAGGGTATTACAGGAAACATGAGTCAGCAAACATTGTTCCCCCTAGAAAAGTGTACATGTACGCTACAGAATACACGGGGAAAATGGGAGAGAGGTAGAAAAGGAAGAGGAGGAGAAGGAGGATGGAATTGAGAAGGAGAGAGAGACAGACAGAGGCGGAGATAGACAGACAGAGAAAGACAGAGAAAGACAGAAAGAGATAGAGAGAGAGAGAGATCATATATTCCTGGACATGTATTGATATAGTAATCATTTACTTTGCAATGTCTCCAGATAATTATGTGGGAGCCGCCACTTAATTCCTCTTAAATTTTAATTCACATGGTAGTACTAATGTAATTCCGTACGTAACAATGGAATCACTTAAATGCCGAGCACAGATTACTCCCATCACTCAAATGTTTTAAAACAACTGTTTGTATGGGTGTAGGACAAAGTACGCCCGAGAACAACCACCCTCCTGAAAATTACCCCCTGTGTTTAGTATGTAAGGATCGAGAACTGGCATAAGGACTCAAAGGGGTGAATGGATTAAGAAAACATTGAAGAAATTATAAAAAGACGACCCGTTTCTTCAGAGAGAGAGAGAGAGGGGGGGGGGGGGTGGGGTTCAGTGATATTTTTGTTGACAGGTACAGCAATATACAGTAGATTTGCGGGTGCACCATGTGAGAGAGAGACGACGGATAGTCAACCTGTTCGAAACGTCGAGCCACTCATCCTCTCCAAGCGCTATAGTTCTCCTGAGAACTATACGTTAAGAAAGATAACAAACAGTCCTTTTCAGGACTACCACACCCCCAAGAAAGATTACTGAGTCAGAGTCCTTTTCAGGACTCCTCAACACTCTCTCTCTCTCTCTCTCTCTCTCTCTCAAATGGTGCACCCGCAAATCTACTGTATATCTACATCACCATGCAAGCCGACACCTACAAGCAGCATCTAGGTACATGTACAGCAATATTTTAAGAGAATATAAATAATACAAATGTTTCTGTTTTTGCTTCTGAATTATAATGTCAACTTCATAAAGCACGGGGCCTTCCTTAAATGCTACCCATTTTCAATATTTGTTGTTTATTATATGGCTAACATATCAAATTACTTTCTAATTCCAGGATAATGGTCAACTCCTCGTAGAGAAATGCCAGCTATCTACCGAGATGACTGCCATATTATGGTCCTGTCTAAGATCCTTCACCTCACTGAACCATCTCAGCATTTCAGACTCCTCTCTCAGTTTCCCTCCATCTCTTCGTGAGCTTTCATCCGTCACAAAGCTATCAGCTGAGAGTGTGACGTCACAAAGCTATGAAAGTCTGCTCTCATCGCTTCCTGGCTTGGGAGATATCGATATCACTATCGATGATGCAGAGAGAGACATACCTCAGATCACGGCTTGTCTTCGTCGGACCGGAGGACAGCAGCTCACACACATCAACCTTACAGCACCGTCATCACTCCCATCAGAGAAGAGGAGTGTATCGAGAGAGACGATGAGAGGATTGGGTCTTCTGATCAGAGAACAAACCAAGAACCTACAGTGGCTGCGTCTATCCAGAGTGAAGGGCACGGACGAGGGAGACTTGGTTAAACTCGTTGAGTGTTGCAAACATGTGGAGACGATGAATCATCTAATGTGAGTTTATTGTACACATCTTTAGTCAGTGAATAATATTAATTATACTAATAATAATCATAATGTTGGTACCCCCCCCCCCCAAAAAAAAAAATAATAATAAAAAAAAAAAATAATAATAATAATAATAATAATAAATAAATAAATTTAAAAAAAATAAAAAAAAAAAAAAATAATGAGTATTGATAACATAGATGATATAATTAACATTAATAGTACCTGTAATAATCATTGATGATAACCTCATTTTAATGCTAACAGTATCAAACATCTTGAACTTCAGATGGTGTTTTTGCTTTAGTTTACATAGGGCAATTGACACATAGCCTCTAAATAAAGGCGCTTATTTTTTTTTTTTTTGTGAATTTATTTTAAATATACCTGTTTTATTGGATGTTTACTATTGATTTAATAACTTCGTTCATGGTTCAAACAATAGATTGAGAGTCTGTCAGCTGGAAAGTAGCAAATTCACCAACCAGATGACGTGAATTTCTCAAAGCTAGCAAGGGGTCTGAATGCCATTATGTTCAGTACAAAACATATATGTGTATCATTATCCGGAACAAATAGGCTATAAATATACCGAAACAAATCATCTTGCTGTCTTGCATGTAAGTGTTCAACGGTTTTATTTTGTTTCTGTTATCACATAAGGCCCTACTCGTTGTTATGATGTATTTAAATGACCTATACATGTACTAAATTCCTCAATTAAAGATTGTTTGCAGCTTAATTGACCACTTTTTTCCACCTGGAAAATCTTGTCTTAAATTAGTAGTAATAACTGAGAATATCTCAATAATCTCAATAATATAATTGTCAACATTAAGAAAAATTAATTTATTAATATGATGCCAAAACGCATGTCTGTTACTGTCGAAGGTCAGTCTATATGAACGATCATATTTTTGAAAGAAGTGCATGTTTCCTCGTGCGTTGGGATTCGTATTCATATGCATTTCACTTCGGTCGATCATGTCAACTCTGCGTGTGTTGTACCCCGCATAGAAATAGAAAATCTGTACGGAGTGCGACATTTTGTTCTGATCAGGCTACTTATGTTACTATATCATTCATTTATTAAAACATACATGTATATATCACATGGTCTTTGAGTGTATGAATGAACATTTTGTTACAAGCATAAATTATGTGTTATGCAAACACATAACGAATTAGAAAGGAAGATGGGCATCTGTCAAAGTAAAATGAACACTTATCAGATCTCAAAATGGGTATTTCTCATACCTAGAAATCGGCACTCATTACGGAGGATAAGGGGCACTTCATAGAATGGAAAGGGACACGTGCCACAGGGTTCTTGTTAATAGCCGGCAACCGGCTATTTTTTCCGGCTGTAACGGCAATCGTAGCCGGCTGTCGGCACCATAAAAAAAAAAAAAAAAAAAAAAATCGTAGCCGACAGAGACTGATGGACTAGAAGTTGAAACCCACAGTGCTGCAGCTCAGAATGATGACAAGCCGACGACAGTCACCAGGCAAAGTGAAGAAGGTGCCAGTGGGCAAGATGAAGCTGAAGACCAGGAGGTGAAGTCCACCCTTGACATCCTAGGTCTGGATGAGGATCTTCTTAGCCAGTCCTCAGATTCAGAAATGGAATGATCATTCACTATGTAATTATTGCAAAAAGTTTCAGGCTCAGGTACATGAATATTAAACATGTGTCACATTACATTTCAATATGCGAGAAAAGTTTAATACATTCTGATTGAATTGACAAGATTTTTCCTTCTAAGGTCTCTAGAATCTGAATGGGAGATCTTGAAATGCTAGGGGCTTGCCTTCAGGGGAGACTCCCCTCCAGACTGAGGCACTGCACCTGGACCCTGCTGGGGGCGTAACACCCCCAGACCCCTGTGACAGCTGTCACATACCTGCAAACCATTTACCAATCCAATTTTGTCATATTTTTTTTATGTGTGTTCCAATTTTTTTAATTTTTTATCGCAAACGATTTTCTTCACTGACAAGGTCCTGTAAACGTCAGTTAACCGTTTTTGCCCAGGACTACCTTGTATCATTATCATGTAATTCAAAATTGTAGATTCATCACAAATATGATTGATTTATCAGAAACAATAATGGAGCATTTTCATTTCATATTGTATATCATATGAAAAGTAAGTTATTCAGCCAAAATATTCATGATCTTTATCATTAAACTATGGCTCATACAGTGTGGTCATATCTTCAAAAATAAAGCTAAGATAGCACCAGAGAGCATCTAAAACCCTAAAGCTTCCAGGGCCCTTGGGCGGGCCCTGGACCCCGGCCGCAAGGGACTTCGCGCTTCGCGCTCGTGATGTGCTATGGCACTGTGCCATAGTATATAACATGGACACTTTATATCGCACTAGAAAGTGGCATTTATTACTAAGGAAAATGGGTATTTCGTCAAAGCAAAAGGGTCAACTATCAGATTAGAATAGGGATACTTATCACAGGTGATAAGAGCATTTATGTGAACGGGAACGGGGCACTTATTGGAAAGAAAACTGGGGAATTGTCTGTATAAAAAGTGAAAAAGAAAGGGCACTTACACAAAATAAGATGGGCTCTTTTAAGGTACTCGAAGAAAAGGGACACCGGCTGGAGTGCCGCCTCTGTTGCCTGTTTAAAAAAACAATTTAAACAACCAATGCAAAGCGTTGCATCCCCTCGCCGGGTATAATGGCCTATATACGTCAGAGCAAGTTACCTCCATTATACAATACTATATTTACTGCAGCTTTTTCTCATGTACATAATTATCCCTTTTTGCATATTTAATGAGGTGTGACCTTTGGCCTTTGACGTACATATGTAAACAAATCTTTGAATGAACGATTGTTACTTACCACTAGTAGAACTGGAGGTTACTTGTAGATGCCGAAAAGCAGGAGTAGTCTACTAGTGGAAACAGTGTTGGTTGACTGGATATATAAAACTCGACACTTCTACTAAAATAGGGTAGCTCAGCTAAAGTGTTCGAAAATGCAGTAATGTCCCCATACAATCATGTACACAAATGCTATCAGAAATCCTAATTAACTAGATGACTTGTACTAACGAAAGGAGAATAACTAACACGTAAGTTGCTCGTAAGTATCCGTGACAACTCGTGACAAATCGTGGAACTTTGCCTTTATACATCACGATAACTCGTAACAACTCTTAAATCGGTCGTAATGTAGACCTACATAGTGGCCAAATCTCAAGGATCCGTGAAAGATCCGTGAATTTGTGCGACCCGTAAGGACTCGTAAGAAAAATCCGTTTATGTGAAGGGGGTGTAAGTTATATCTTGTGGTTGCAGAAGAATAGGGCACGCATGGAACCGAAGACCGAATTCGGTCTCGTGCGCGGCCTATTTATGTTGCCACCTATTTCTTCATACTTCATACCGTTAACCCAAATAATGCCAGGTCATTTATTTTCGTGTTGATTTTATACATTCTAGCTGCACACAAATAATATTCAGGTGATCGGTACACTTCAACCGTACATGCACTCATCTACAAATGGGTGCAATTAACATCTTCTTTCCATTCCTCTTTTTTATACGCAATTTAAAAATTCATGTATAATATGTTGCAGGCTTCTTGGCTGTGGGACAAAGTCAGACGGTAGACTAAGACATCTCATCACTTATCTTAACAAGTTAGAGAAGTCACTCAGGGTGATTGCCTTGCATGTAAGTTACCTACTAAGTATATCGATTGCTACATGAATACAAGGGTTCGAGGACAATTACCCCCTGGACAATCACCCACCTCCCTCCCCCTGGCAAATTACCAACGGGACAATTACCCCACCCTGAAAATAACCCCCTTGGACAATCACATATCATTAGACAATGTATTTAAATGTATATAATGTGTATAGCGTGTTTGTAAAAATATAGTGGCATCCTGTTTATTGTTATATTATATTGGATGTTGGTGCTGCATGTACATGTTAACTACAAGATTATAAGATTATGCTTCCGATGACCCTACATTTACAAAAGCTTGAAAATAAAATCGAAATTAACATTAACACAAACCGTAAATGACCAGTATGTTTGGAGCCATTCACCAACCCACCGGTCCGTCATATCATGCAATGACAGGTTGACGGTCTAAATGAAAATCAGCCATTCGCAGATCAGATTCACATATATGCAAAACAAAGTGATTGATTTATTGGCCATATATATGTATATTATCTGTACCGTTTTATTTAAAGCAGGCTTACCTCTTCAGTTTACAAACTGCTATCCGTGAGCGCCCTGCACAATAAAAACAACGTATATACAATATCTATGGACTTCATAAGTACATATTAAACTCATAATTGCAGGAGGATGGAAGTGAGAAGGAAAGAGAGACAGACATAGGCGGAGACAGAAAGACAGAGAAAGAAAGAGAAAGACAGAGAGAGAGAGAGAGAGAGAGAGAAAGTGAGAGAGAGAGAGAGATCATAATATTCCTGCACATGTATTGATATAGTAATCATTTACTTTGCAATGTCTCCAGGTAAGTATGTGGGAGCCGCCACTTAATTCCTCTTAAATCTTAATTCACATGGTGGTACTAATGTATTTCCGTACGTAACAATTGAATCACTTAAATGCCGAGAACATATTTCTCCCATCATTCAAATGTTTTAAAGCAACTGTTGTACGGGTGTAGGACAAAGTACGCCCGAGAACAACCACCCTCCTGAAAATTACCCCCTGTGTTTAGTATGTATGTAAGGATCGAGATCTAACATAAGGATTCAAAGGGGTGAATGGATTAGGAAAACATTGGAGAAATTATAAAAAGACGACCCGTTTCTTGAGAGAGAGAGAGAGAGAGAGAGAGGGGGGGGGGAGGGGGGGGGGGGCAATGACATTTTTCTTGACAGGTACAGCAATATTTTAAGAGAATATAAATAATACAAACGTTTTTGTTTTTGCTTCTGAATTATAATGTCAACTTCATAAAGCACGGTGCCTTCCCTTCAATTCTTCCCATTTCAAATATTTGTTGTTTATTATATGTCTAACATATCAAATTACTTTCTCATTCCAGGATAATGGTCAACTCCTCGTAGAGAAATGCCAGCTATCTACCGAGATGACTGCCAGATTATTGTCCTGTCTCAGATCCTACATCTCACTGAACCATCTCAGCATTTCAGACTCCTCTCTCAGTTTCCCTCCATCTCCTCCTGAGCTTCCATCCGTCACAAAGCTATCAGCTAAGAGTGTGACGTCACAAAGCTATGAAGGTCTGCTCTCATCGCTTCCTGGCTTGAGAGAGATCGATATCCGTATCGATGATGCAGAGGGAGACATATCCCAGATCACGGCTGGTCTTCGTCGGACCGGAGGACAGCAGCTCACACGCATCACCATTACAGCACCGTTCTCACTCCCATCAGAGAAGAAGAGTGTATCGAGAGAGACGATGAGAGGACTGGGTCTTGTGATCAGAGAACAAACCAAGAACCTGCAGGTGCTAGGTCTGTATGGAGTGAAGGGCACAGACGAGGAAGACTTGGTTTACCTCGTCGTGTGCTGCAGACATTTCAAGACGATGTCAGAGCTGTGGTAGGTTCTTGTTTAAATCTTGTATAAAATAGATTAAAATCCTACTAGACGATCCTGTTTAGTTAGTCTGCCGTGAAAAAGCATAATGATACGAATGCTTGAAGGGATGCAAAGGTTAAAACATGGGTGTAACTTCCAAGTGTTTGACTGAAAGTTAGGATGGGTTTTCTTTGTTTGATTATCGCTCTCAATTGTTATTTTAGAATTTTAATGTACAATCGCAATGAATAGATTGAATTTGAATACCTGTATTGAAAATCCAAAATTTTGATATACAGTTACATGTATTATTATAAACCGTCGGAAGGTAAAATAATGTAAGTCCATTTTGACTTTAAAAAAAATCATATCCTGATAAAATTAATTATCATTATCATAAATTGTCATTATTATTATTATTATTAATATTATTAGGTCTATTATTATTGTTATTTTGCCACTACTATTATCATTATCATCATTTATTATTATTGCGTTTACTACTATTAATATCATCATCATGTTATCATTGTCACTATCTGATTAATTATCATCAGTATCAATATTTCGGTTGCAAGTACGTGTTTGATTTTTTAGGCAGAATGGTGAATCACCGAATACCGGCAGCGAATTAAAAGGTTTTGTGCTCTAGCTGCAATGAACCGTTAAAGGCAAACTGTCCTTTTTAAAATTATTCTACATCTTTTTTTTGATGCATCGTCTAAAGAACATCAAGTTCCATGAGGTGGCAGGTATGCCCCCCCCCCCTGCCAACGTCAGCTCTTACTCTTCGACTCAGAATTTGTGAATTTTGAAGCTTAAGCAATGCCAAGATAGGGGAAATGACTCATTTTCCCCTTTTCTCCCCCCTGGAGGGTTTTTCATCAACTACAATCAATTTCGATTTAAAAAATCAACTTTTAAGGCTGAATTACTTTTGGCTTAAAACTAATGCTCGTGAGCTTTTTTTTTTGACTCAAATTTAAACTAGAATTGATTTTAATAAATATTAGGTTAAATGTAAAAGGGCTCTGTAATCAAGGCTAGTCGGTGTTGGGTCAATCAACCACAACATTGCGTCGCTACACTACTGCAAGAAAGGTCCTCGAAAAGTAGGTAAATTCCGTTCTGTTGATACAAAAATTGTTATTTTGGTAGAAGGAAAGTATTCCTCTCATTTGTAACCGAACGTTATTTGGAATAAATATCAACTGAAAGCATTCTCCAACTGAGCGAAACTTAAGTTAACTCTTCGAATTGCACCGGTTCGTGCATTTCCGTCCAATTCATATAGCCTACATTCATGCATGTTTAACTGTAGCCTAGTTCTACTTGTCTAACGATGTTGAATATTTGGTTAGGACATGTAAGAAATATAGTTTATTCTTTCATTTGATAACAAAATAGGTCTACCACGGCTTTAGGAATCATCGTGTTGTATGGTTTCGTCGATAAGTCTAGTGCTTAAAATTTAGATTTAGTCTAGGCTTAGATTCCAAATCTAGGCCTAGATCCAGGCTATACTACTTTGTTTTGTTGCCGGTAGGCAGTGCGGTCGCCATTGTTTTGTGTTAATAATAACAATTAACGAGATCATTGCTTTAACTTCAACATTTTATGCTAGAAAATACGACTCTACGGTATCAGACCGAAGACCAGGTTAGATCTTGATTAAGATCTTGATGTATCATTTAGTCTACATGATACCAGATCTAGGATAGATGTAGACCTAGTCTTCACACTGCACCCTTTGTGCAGGACTAACTTAGATAAGTTAGGAGTTAGAGTTAGTCCCTGAGTCATAGATGTAGTTGACTACTTGTATTTTTGTGACATCTAAATTAACAGGAGTTAGATCTAGTCTACGTCTAACAGTAAAAAGTTAGATTTTAGACTAGATGTAGAATGTTATGTAGGTCTAGTATTAGGCTCATGTATCAAGCTCTCCTGTTTTTTTTTTCTTTCAGAGTCAGAGATGGAGTGGACCTGGACATTTGAGTCATATCCAAGAAATAGACCTCTAGTCTAAAACTTCTCTCTCACCGTGTCTTCAACGTCTTGGACTAACTTCTCATCCTACCTTGGCCCGAGGAAAGGGTTTGGATCTGCATAATGTAATCCAGTTCAAGGTACTGCAGATTCTACTGTGCTAAGTGGCCTTTTGATGTGATTTTCTTAGCAAAGTTTGAACACCGACATTAAAACGGTGAGGGTTTTTTTTTTTCTTCTTCTAGACCTGCATAGATATGAATTACTAACTTGTTGTTGAGTTTATAGTCTTGATATTCATTTATGATAAAGGGTTAAGATACCGGATATTGGATTTTACAATAACAAACTGAAAATTATGTGTTCTTAATTTAAGAAGAAGCCAACCATGACAGGTAAAAAGAAACATAGATAAATTACTAGATCAGCCAGATTCTGATCAATAGTGTATAGCATAGGGCAGCAATTAAAGTATAAAGATGTGGTTGAACAAACTCTATGCATGATGTAAATTTCAATCTGTTTGTTATATACCAGTTTAGGTAGTTCTTTCTCTTCTATTCACCAGAGGGTATTTCTATCAATTCTCTGTACAATAGGGTTTGTTTCAAGATCAGATTATCTAAGATTAAGATTAGACTGCTGTAGAGTCAGATTACAAATGAAAGCTAAAGTTTAAGATTAGCACATTCAAGTTCAATATTTTAAAGAAATGTTTGGGATCAAAATCAAAATCAAGATGAATAAAAAATGTGTATTATTTAAAAAAAAGTTCCACGTACCAAATATCACATTTTCAAAAACTTTAAATGTGGTTAGTTACGTGACATAGTGGTTTGACCCAAATACATTTAAATTACAATTGATCAGTGATGAAAATGTACTTTTGTTCAGTTGAACACATTAAAGTGACAACTATTTTTTCTGTGAAATATATTTGCTCTCTTTATGGTATATGTATATCTCTGTTTTAAATCTTAGGTTGCAAAGTAAAGATCTGTGGTATCTACATGAACTGCAAACTCATGGCATCTGGACTTTCATACCTAAGGTGTTTTCCATCTCTTCAAGTTGAAAAGGTAAGCGGTATCAGTTAAAATAATTGATCTTATCAGTATGTTTTGTGCCTGTCATCATTGCCCCTAGAGCAATCAAGAAAAACAATTTTAAGCAAGTACAGTTATCATAGTCCTTGTTAGAGGTCTAATTACGATTTTACCCAAACTATTGTATAAAACATACAAAAAATGATTATGAAAAGATTCTTTTTTGTTTCCAAAGCCTTAAATAAATTATTTATTATCTTTTCTAACTAAAACTGCTTTCGTATCAATATTTAAAAAAATATGTTCATTATCCTTCTTCTTGATGTATTTTCCAATAAAAGAAATTGACATGACTAGAAATACAAAATTTGTATAGTCTATAGATTGAAAAATTACACTAGTATTTATTAATATTTGTATTACATAACTTTCAATTTCAAATTCTAGACTGCAGAGCTTGAATCCCCTGCAACATTATGCTTCATATGGAACATCAGGCAGCCTACATATTCAAGCTCCCTTTTCCAGCTCTAAGCAAGAGGGACCACAATCGTGGAATAGTCGCTTTCTCATTAATTACGACTTCCGGTGAAACAGATTTTCAAATAAATTCATCTGAATATATTAAAAGTGCTCCAGTCTGTGTACTACAATTTGCCATCGAGTATGGAATTATTGGTTTGACAATATTTCATCAAGTAATGTTTTAAAGGAAGTAAACAAATTAATGATACTTCCAACAATTCTATTCTTTTAAATAGAATCGTAGAATCTTGGAAAAGAAAGAAGAAAACAACTATTTACAGTTGAAAGATAAAACTGAAGTAATAATCCATATTAAGTTTAATAGCTCTGCAATTTAAGCCTGCACTTTCGAGAAATATCTCGCTTAGTGTTGTTGCTGATCTAAAAAGCTATGATTCTTTCATGGAGGCTGTTGTTTCTAAACTTACATTACCTAGATAAATCCGTTAATGGCGATGAATCTTAAAATATCAAATTGGAAATTTTAAAGTAGCAATTCATAGGGGGCAGCAGTGGGCCAATTTGAGGGCCTATTTGGAACTCTTAGTAGAGTTTCTGTTGGCAAGAATTTGTGTCGATAATTACCTGTTGATACCTGAATTGGATATTCTTAGCAATTGCACAAGAACAAATACAAAATAAATAACCGAACATTGTAATTGCAGTGAAAACAGATTTGTCCGGTAGGAAATAATATATCAACTCGGATTCATGTTGTCCTTAAAAAATTCTCAAAGCTGATAGAAAAAAAATGATGATTAACTTTGTATAGACAAACTGTTGTATCAAGAAAAACCCATTTTCATCAACTGCATGACCTTACATGGCAATGTGTATTACCCTTATATTAACAACCATATTAGTTATAGCAATCGTTACGACAAATCTTACTCTTTTAATCTCCACTAATGTACCGTACATGTACCTCGACTAGACAGTGGCAGATATTAGCTGCAATAGTTTTAACAACCGGTTGTCACTTAAAGAGCAGTACTTTCATTTGTGTCATTGGAAATGTTTTTATTGTATCCCTTGAAATTAATTGCTATTGCTCATCATTTATAAAATGTAGATTTTCATGCATTAAAGCATAAGAATAGCTATAAGACTTTAAAGCTTGAAAAATGTATGTAAATGTTATTTTGTATTTGAGTAATTTATCGTTTGTCATGTAATACGAAAAAAATGAATGGATGAGATTATGCGATAACACATAACTAGTAATTATGAAATGATGATAAAGGGCAATGATATATGATTCAATGATGGTGTGTTTGTTTGATCAGATAACCTAGCAATAATTTTGTTAGAAGCCAGTGGTAAATATTTGGATTTTTTACTTTATTTATGTATTATTATTATTATTATTATAACTGTTTTGTTATGGGGGGGGGGGATGTAAAAGAACAAAACAATCACTTTGAAAGGGACAGAAAGCAAAGAGTTGTGATAGCAGTGTGGTTGTGTGTTAATGAGAGAGAGAGAGAGAGAGTATGTGAATGGAGTAAGGGCACAAATTTATAAACAAATAGATAATTAATGGCCCAAAATTAGCCTTTAATTTTGTACAAAATTCTCGATTCTCTGATACATTAAAAAGTTGTTAGCCTTCATTTACGGCATTTACGCCTTACAAGCAAATCAGTGCTTGAACATATCGAATTAATAATGGGATGATTTTTGTTTTAATTCGTTTTATTTCAAGAGGGTTACTTTCTCAGTAAAAAAAACTGTTTCATTGAGAAACCCTCTATTAATACACTGAGAGGAAATTGAACTACGTTTAAATACATATCACATATCATATCATGGATTCTTTTTCTTAATGTTTTTTTTTTATACACCAGAATATAAACACGAACAAAATTATAGAATATAATATAATTCCTTTCAAATAAAAAAATTAATGCAGGAAAGCTGAAATACTCGTTCGGTTTCTTTATTTATTTACCGAAATAAACAGTCTCTGGGATAAAAAAAGAAAAAAAAAAAAAAAAAAAGGAGATGAAATTGATCTTATAATGTATATGGATCACTTCCCATGTCCCTTTTGCAGCCAACATCAAATTCTGTAGAACTTTGCAGGAATTATGAATATGTCATATATGTCCTATTTGTGAGATTTAAACGTAGCAGTGTCCTAATATTCAAATTATGCACGGAAACCCGTTTACTTGCTAGACTTCACTGTCAGACATGCACTATTGAGTGACTGACCGGCTTTTTTCATCTTTGGTAATAACATACATAACATGAACTGTAAAGGGTACATGAGGAATCGTCTACATCAATAACCCACTGCTTGTAATGGCCAAAATTTAACTGATTAGGTCAGCGGCCTAAGTTAAGCCTGGCCTAACTAAACCGCGGACTACGTTAGGCCAGGTTTAACTTAGGCCGCTTTCGAGAATACCACCCTAAGAGTATCATATTTTACGCATTCTCTGTCTGTTTCTCTTTCTTAATTTCTCTGTTCTTTGTGTGTCTCGATCTCTACTCTATGTTGTTGTTGTTTGGTATTATCGGCGTTTCATTCTTTTTTAGAATATTTACGCCTTTCTCCTTTTTTGTAATACTATTTGTAAATTCGTACTCTTCTCTTTTTTTTGGATAATATAATCTCAGATCTACTGGTCCATGAAAACCCCTCACCGCAATTGGCACCTTCCTTCCTGCCAGAACGGCGAGGTACATTGCGCAATCTTCTCGGCCATCATTGGCCTAGGCAACTCTGGTGCCGGTGAGAGGATTCTGGGGTATATCTTCAGAGTATCTTAATTGTTTGGGGTTTACCTTCCTCAATCCGTCTTTACTCTTTCTTTCCTTTTCTCTTCTAGTATTTTTCTATTTTGTAAAACCTTATTTTTCTATCAAAGTAGGTATCAACATCTTTGAGCATTTGGTTGTCATGCGATATGTGCAAAAAAAATAAAAAATTCTAGTAGGGACACTCAAAACGCCTCGTTCTACGAACGAAGCGGATCAATGCTCTCTGTGTCACACTTTTTGTTGATTTTAGGAGTTTCATTATTTCGTTTGGGCTCGTTATATCACTTTCCATTATCAGCATTGCTCTTTCTATTGTATATTTTGGACATTCCATCAGATAGTTTGATGAAACAAACTGTGAGTGCAATTGGTCTATACGATGATACTTTATGTGGTTCTTTGTTAGGTGTTTTGATTGGGACAATAATTGAGTGTTTACATTGCCTTGGTATTTGCCCCGAGCTCCAAATTTGATTTATCAAATTTAGCATGGTCTGTTTTGCTGATTTCGTGAGTTTTTGGTATATTAAATATTTAATATTATCGTGTCCGGGGGTAAGAGGAGGAATTTTGACGTTCGATTGCTGCTTCTAATTCTGATAGTGTGAAATTGTCGTTTAGGACTGAGGGAAAATTTTCTCTATATTATTTGCTACGTGAGTGTACAGTTGGGAGCTAAGGTCAACTTTGTGTTTAGTTACGTAAGTATAATCTTCAGCTATCTTATTGACCTTTTCCTGATCGGTAATATATTCTATATTATTTTCTTTTAGTGTTGGTAAGCATTCTTTTTTTTTGGTATGATATTGTTGTATCTTTTTATCATTTTCCAAATTTCTGAAGTCGGAGTGAATCTATTAAGCCTGGAGCAGTATTTGTTCCAATGTTGTCTTTTTGCTTCTCTTATTGTTTTCTGTGTAAGGGCTTTCTTATTTAGGTATTCGTAGAGATAATCTTTCGTCATGTATTTGAGGGCTTTATTTTTGGCTTTGTTTCGTTCTTTAATTCTCTTTTGGCAGTCTTCATTCCACCATGGATTGTGTGGTTTATGGTTTTTAGTTACTGTTGGTATGGTTTCCTTCATAATTTTCTTTGTGACGTGTATGAATTCGTTGTAGTATTCTTATGTGTTTTCATTTGGAGTTATATTGGACAGTTCTATGTCGCATAATTGTTCAAATGCTTTCCAGTCTGCTTTTTTGTAACTAAGATATGGTTCGTTTCGTTTTGTATATTCTCTTTCATGTATTTCTTCTACAGGATGTAGATTGATTTGTATTTCTATAGGGAAGTGATCACTTTCTAACTGATCTTGCTTTACATTCCACTGACATCTATAAGCTATGGAGGGTGTTGCTAAGCTTAGGTCTAGACAGGATAATTTTTCCGTATGGTGATCCATTCTCGTACCTGATCCATCGTTTAGTATGATAATATTTATTCTTCTATGATGCGGCCATTTACATCGGTAGTGTTACTGCCCCATAATGAGTTATGGCTGTTAAAGTCTCCTAGGATTAGCAGGTACTTTGGGATAGCATATTCTGGAATGATGGCCTTAAGGGTATCTATGTCTAATCGCTGACATGGATTGTAATAATTTACTACTGTCATGCAGGAATTTTTGAGGTGCAGTTGAATAGTTTGCAATTCAAAGGTATTATGGAGTGTTATATTTTTGAAATATACAGAGTTGTGTACGTAAATGGCGCATCCGCCTCTCACTCCGGTTTTTCTGTTGCGTGGTATACATGTATAATTTGGTATTAATATATTATTTTCTGTCAACCACGTTTCTTGAATGCACAATATATGGTAAGGGTTATTCCTGCGTGACAGTAGCAATTGAACTAGTTCGTCCCCGTGCCCCCCTTGGAGACCTTGGGCATTCCATAGTAGTATGGAAAGTGCCGCCATGAAAAGGAGAATTTTAATTATGTTCTCCATGGTGTTTCATTATTTCTAGCTCTTCAGGTAATATATTGAGACATGTCTGGGCTTCTGCGAGAAATTTGTTCATCTGTTGTGTTCGTGGGATGTCTTGTTGCATTATTTCTATGACACGGAAAAAAAACATTAGGAGATCCAGGGAGATGTGACTTCTCTCTGGGAGATCAGTGTTCTTGGCTGTGGTAATGATGTTGGGTTTACCACCACTGTTGGAATGTTGCATTCTCCACTGTTTTACACATACGGAAGGGGTAATCAAACTTTCGCTTTGATTGGTTTCTATTTCAATGTATTGTGTAGATTCTGTATTTGGTCTGCTTTGTGTGGGAATTTGTTTACTCTTTGTTTCTTTCTTTTCTTTGCTTGTGGGTACTTTATAATTGCCGTTTGTGCTCGATTCCTTAGAGTTAGTTTTTTCCTCTACTTTTGTTGCCTCTTTGAAATGTTTCGTGGCTTCGGCATAACTTATTTTCTTTTCCAAGCGGATTTCTTGGACAATTCTTGCGTTTTTGGCTTCGATGCATCCTTTGAATGCTGCTGAGTGGTTTCCTTTGCAGTTAACACAGAAGGGATTGGATTTTCTGGGACATTGGTCGAAAGGGTGGTCTTCTTCACACCTGACTGAGTCGTTGCGATTTTTAGGGGACCCAACACACAAAAAAGGGGTCCTCTTACCCCCCCCCCCCCCCCCCTACCCCGCTTATTCAGCGACCTGCCGAGTCGTTCGATTTTTGGGGGACCAAAAAAAAAAAAAATGTGTCCTCTTACCCCCCCCCCCCCCCCCCCCCGCCATATCAGGCGGACTTTGGGAATGGGTGTTGCTCCCAAGTTAATTCTGTTGGTTAATGTAGCATACAGTGCAGTGCAGAAAAATGCCCGAAAATATTGCGTACCTCTTGCTGGCAATCCCAATACACAAAAACAATTCAAATACTATACGGAGTTGGGTCGGAAAGAGATAATTGGTTTCCTTTCACTGAGACCAATCGCTTGTTCACGTGATATATTTCGCGCCAAATACAAAATTGAACGTGGTTTCCGACAATCAGAGAAACAATTTTGATATTTTCCACAAATTAAATTCCGAAGAGTAGTATGATGAATTTACAACATGTATATTCCAGAGAGACTGGGGTTGGCAATCCAAAAAGAAAATTGAGTACATTTAGTGTCAATTGAAGATTCAATTCAATTCGATCGAACACCGGAGCTCGGAGGAGGCACGTCCGTAGCAGACGGTCTGAGAAACGGTAGTATTCCTCTCTGTTGATATATATATATATATATATATATATATATGACCCCCCCCCCTCCCTTATCGCTCTCTCTCTTTCTCTAATTCTTTTTCGTTAGTCTAACACCTTACCCCATCACTCTGTTTTCTGAACATAGGTTACAGTGTTGTGGAACTAGAGAGGGCGGCAGAGTGGAATCTCATCTCAAAGGTCTTCAAGCATCATCATCTGGCGACCTCTCTGTGCATATTCATCATGTAAGTATCGTTCCACGTTGTGTGCTCTGTACACTTTCACTATTTCTTATTTTCATCTGTATAATGACCGCTATTATGCAAATATTGTTCTGTATTATCGTTTTTAATATTCAATTTCTAAATTTTCTTTCCATTTTTGGCCCATTTTCTTTGTTAACGTTTCCTTAGTGTTATTTTTTTTTCTTGTAAAATCATCCCCTTCTGCTTCGTAAGTTTTTTAAACTGTTTTATATTTTGAGTTTCCTGGCTTGGGAGATATTGATATCACTATCGATGATGCAGAGAGAGAGACATAGCTCAAATCGCGGCTGGTCTTCGTCAGACGGGGACTCTTTTGTCTCTGTCCCGGGTCTCTGTATTTAGTGTTGTTGATGATTGTTATCCCATTTCCTAGACTCCAAATGCTCAGAAGAATATCAAAACGTTGCTAAATGAAATAATTTATATGTTCTCTCTCCCATGTGTTCCTATTACGTTTTTTTACACGTAATTCACTTTGTTTCCTCTGTCTGGATTTGCACTTCAACATTCTATCAGATATTTAATCAAATATATCTTTGTTTTGGGTGTTGTTTCGATGGTACGATTATAAGTATGATTTATTATCTTTATTCCTTGCATGAAATTGAGAAGTTTATTTGTTCAATCACTTCATTGTTGGCTCTTTTTTTTGGGGGGGGGCGGGGTGCTACTCACGTTATAACTGGAGCCCATTCACTTGACCTTGCTGTGTTTCGGTTCATTTAACTTTTCATATTATTTCCATTAAATTGTTATTTTCAGTTGTGCTACCACTCTTAAGCCATTTCTTAATTGTACCATTGATTATGTCTCTGTTTAATGTTGTATGCTTTTTAATTCTGCCCCCCCCCCCATGTTGCTCTCCGGTTGTCTCTTTCTCTCTTTTTGGGGCGTTCTTTATCTGCATCAGAGTCGGCGCTCATGGGGAGGGGGCACAATGCCCCCCTGTTTCTTTTCTTCTTCAAGTACACCAGAAGCGCTTGCTTTTACGATAGAAAAGTTTTCATTTTTATTGTGCCGCTGTTTTTTCCTCAATAAGTGTCCCTTCCCCTTTTTTATGTCCCCTCATCAAATTTGCAAGGTGCCTTTTACTTTGACAAATGACCTTTTCCTTTTTTATGAATTCCCTTTTCCTATTTTTCTAACTGCCTATTTTCATCTCTGATGTATGCACTTTTGTACAACTGAATGATTGACTAATAGGTTTATTGAGAACATTCCATGATATTTCATTCCTTTGACTTAGCCAATGGGTTAACAAAATATTTCCAAATTGTAAAAAAAAGATATATATAGACCATGTCAATTTTTCAGTATTAATGAGAAATAGAAGAAGCGAAAGGCAGAGGAGAGAAGAGATGTAGAAGAGTAGAGAACAAGGCTAAGCAGAGCGACCGAGGAAGGAAACAAGTTTGGAGAGCCAGAGAGGTAGAAGAGGGTTGATAGGAGAGGGGAGGTACACCATAGGTTAATACTTTGGCCATAGCTCTTATAGATCACATATCTGTCTTTAATTTACACGGAATATATATACATGTATATAACAGGTGACGTACTGCAACACTTAATCAATACTGAACAGGAAAGAAATGAACATAATAGGGTGAAGGAAGAACAGGAATGATAAAAGCGGAAAGAGGGAAACTGGCAAAGGAATAGAATGAGACCAAGAAGAAAGCGACGGGGGGATACAGTACATCTAGAGCGAGAGAAAGAGAGAGAGAGAGAGAGAAAAAAAAAAGTTGTAGGTAAGAAGTATTGGTATATCATAGGAATAAATAGTTCGCTATGTCATTGATATTATTCATTCATAATTTTGTTTCATACAGAGAATATATAAACAAGATATTTCAATGTAAAATAATTTCACGTACTGTATCATTGAATTATTAAATAAATAGATAGGTAGAAGGAGAGGAGGAGGAGAGAAAAAATAAGAAAGGGGAGAGAGGGAAGGACAAAACTAGCAGATCAATATGATGAGATTTAGAAGGATACAGAGGGAGAGGGAGAGGTATAGGAAGGAGAGGGAAAGAGGGGGGGGAGGGGTTTAGGAAAGTTCGAATGTTAGGAAAGTTCGACATGGTGGCTTTCTATGAATAATGATACGATTCGACTGCAATCCATATAACTATTTATTTACTTGTACAGAAAATATTGAGCAACTGTTACAAAATACATTTTATAATCCTCTACAACAATTGCGCAACCGCGCAGAGAGAGAGAGAGAGAGAGGGGGTAGGGGGAGACAGACGAAAAGAGAGAGGAGAGGTGTACAGTGTATACGGAAACGGACTTTGGATCACATGGTTCGCGGTTCGAATCCCGCAGTAATCTACATCTGTCACTCTCCACCTAGGTGTTGATGGGTACCCGGGCAAGCCCGTATAGAGCGAATGTGAATGTGGTTGGAGCTTGTGTGAGCTTGTAAAATGGCGCCTGAGCTAGAATTCTCTCCATGGAGCGGAACGTGTGCACTTTCATGTGCAGATTAGCAATTGAATACAATGATGGGCTAATTATAATTACAGTGTAAATTATAAATGTTTATAAAAAGTTAAAAACGATTATAAATGTTGTATTAAGCGCTACAAGTTTGACTATTATTATCATCATTATTATTATTATTATTATTATTATTATTATTATTATCATTGTTATTAAAAACACAGAGGGTGAGATGTAGATAGATGGTAACATAATTATATGTATCAAATACAATCGTATCAATTTCTATCGAAATAAAAAGAGATTTGTTTCCCAGAGTGTATTAATTACGATATATCGATCTCACCAGATATGGTAGGACACTACTGCTGAATCTTTCATTTCTATACTTAGCATATTGTTGTGTCGGACTAGGCGCGGATCAAGGGGGGGGGGGGCTAGCGGGCCTTGGCCCCACCACCCCCCCCCCCCCCCCCCCCTCTGGCAAAACAAAAGACAGGCCTCCAACCCTGGCAACAAAATAGTGCTCGCTACCCCCACCCCCCCCCCCTCCACTGAGCGAAATATCAAATTTCCGGGGGCAAACAAGAAAACAAATAGTGCTCCCCCCCCCCCCCCCCCTCCCTACTGAGCGAAATATCGGCCGGCGCGATTTTCATATTTTCCGGGGGCAAAAAAAGAAAACAAAAAAGTGTTAGGACACTACTGCTGAATCTTTCATTTTTACAGTTACACTCTCTTAGCCTATTGTTGTGTCGCAGTAGGCGCGGATCAAGGGGGGGCGCACCTTGTCCCCCTTCCCCCCCCCCCCCCCCCACTGAGCGAAATATCGGCCGGCGCGATTTTCAAATTTTCCGGGGGCAAAAATGAAAACAAATTTGAAGTGCTCACTACCCCTCCTCCCCCCCCCCTATACAAAATCTTGGATCTACCACTGCTGCTGGTCACCATTACATACCAATATTTGGCTCGCATGATTTCAAATTATCATTTATATGTAAAATCCAATGAATATGTAAACAATGCACTGCTATGTCGTTGAATATTATTCTTCTTATCGTAATTCATTATGTTTTCTCTTTCAAAATATTTAATTTAGAAAGGTGTTCTTCATTACCCATACTGATTGAGCCACAGTGCAGCTGTACCTGACATCATTTGTTTGTTCTCACGTTGGATGAGTTCCAGTGATGACTACACACTACCCGGTCAAGTTGAAATGCTGCATTGTCTCATACCTGATGTATACCTGATCTACTTCCTGGTATTTATTAACCCATTTCCTACTGGAACCGGGCTAGTTTTGTATTCAAATTATGGGGAATATGTTATTAAAATCAGTAGTCAACATGTTAACTTCCAGGAGAAATGAAGTTAAATTGATTTCATCTTCATTTCTAGATAATGTAGGCCCCTGCTAACCAGCTTTATGCATTGTCATTGGTAATTATGTTATTGAATGTAAATCTTGCCTCATTTCCATCATCGTACTTGGACTAATAGCACTCCTTATTACAGTTTTTTTTCTCAAATTATCTTAGCAGCATGTTGTTAAGATTTAGAAACACTTATGTACACATACGTTGTTTGCACTGTTTTATGAATCAAATGTAATGATGATCTACGATGTAGATTCATAAAAACTCAGCTGTTTTGGGAAATGTTGTGAACATATTTGAAAAGGATTAATGTCCTCTGTTAAGACATTGATCTACATTTGCCACACTAAACCCAGGTGATGTATATGGGTACCTGGCAGGAATTATTTCCTTGAAATTCTAGAGCGCCGGGGTAATAATTGTGGAGCGCCAAGAGTGTCAAATCTGACAGACATGAGCGCTATGCAATATACAATATACATATATTTTTGTTTGCCTTTTCAAAAAAATTGGAAAGCTATTTGAATTTTGAAAATAATTAAAATCTGCAATTGGACTATTTCCCTAATCTTTGTACAAACATAATACTTGTATATGGGATGATCTTAATGGCGAAATACTGCAGAAAATGCATGCTTACAGCTATTGTGGATCTTTAAACACACTTATTTACACGCCCTCAACACCGAGTACATCACCCCCCCCCCCTTTTTTTCGATTGGGGGAGAGATGAAGGAAAAGGAAACAGAACGTGAAATAATACATGTAGTATATTTTCGGGCAACAGGCCCTCCCGGTTTTGTCTCATTTTACCCGGTTTTGTTCGATTAGGATAAAAATCATGATACAACATTTTATTTGTTAATGGCCTTTTCTTACGTTTGGTATCATTCATTATATTTTCGTAGCATTTATATCAAAATAATGCAATTTGTGTCAGTACTTCACGTCACCATTTAAATATGAGACATATACCCAATGAGTCCCATGTAATGCATAAAGCTAATTAATGACTTGTTGTAAAAATGTGCATATCTTTATTCTGAACCAACTTTTGTATTATATGTACTTTATATGTATAAATGTATATACATACACACATTATATTATTCATTATTTCGACAACTACACCTTGGATTGATATTAGAATAGCACTATTTATTGTATTGTAAATAGGTTTGTGTGACGAAAGAATTCACGAAGTTCATACAAAAGATGCATTTTGTGTTGGAAGATTAAGTAATCTTGAAGGGATAATTCCATCGTGTTAATCTTTACAGCTGCCTTAAGTAACTTTATTACTTTTCATTATTTCATTCTGTATTGATATGCATTTTACACAAAATATGTGGTTGATCATTGTTGGAGTGTATACCAGTTGTTTCTATCATATATTTATGATGGCACTTGTATCATGTATGGGGATTGCCCTATAGATGAAGTAGAATGTTTCATTTGTTATTCACACAAATACAGTACACATCTTACTCATTTAATGATTTAAATATGATATGATGTTGATTTTTATGGGGCGTAACAACGATACAAAAAAGGAAGAAAAAAGGGTGATGCTAGAAAGAAATGGTTCTTTAATAGTGGTGGTTTAAAGGAAAAATTGTTATGAATACAAATGTGTATGGGAATAGAAAACAAAAATAGCAAAGACATAAATATACAATGCATATAGTATCATTGGTTTTATTACAACTCTACGACAGTTAAAACTTACATGTATGATATATGTACAAGAAGATGTATATAATATATACATTGAGTTATCAGGTTGTGGCAAGTGATCAATCTTGATCTTGATTCCTGAAATTGTGGTAAAAGCGAACATGAATGTTACCACAGATGTCCGAACAATAAATATTGATGATTCTTTCATTATGAAGGGATGCGTTGTTCTAGCGCCACCTTGTGACTGCTTTAGTAATAAACCACTTGAAAAAC